TCCAGCCCCTCCTCCGCCCACCCTGGTGCCCGCCCGCGTGGGCAGCGGTGGGCCATCGAGGCTGCCCACCGGGCAGCCCAGGTTCACCTCCTTCCAGTCCTGTTCGAAGGGAGGCTCACGAAATGGCGGCCCACCGCCAAGCCGAGATCTCGGCCGCACCGTGGGGCACTCTCCAGTCCATCCTCTGCCCCGTCCCCCCCCCCCAGTTGGGCGCGTGGCCCACCCTCCGCACTCTAGCTGGCGGTTGGTGCACATCCCACCACCTTCTCACCCCACTGGGCCGGCGTGCGTGCATTTTCGGCTACGCCACCTGCCCTCAGCTCGACTGGGTCCTGTCCAATGCCCTCGGTCGCGACCTCTCTCTGGCCTGCCCTCTCGGCCGGTGGGGTGTCACTGCCCCGTCCGTCGAGATAGTCGACGGGGCTGCCACAGGTTACAATACCATGGTTTGAGGTTTTCGCCGAGCCTCGTATCCCCACAGCAGTTGACATCGGCTGCTCCGGCGGCACTGCGGTCGGTCCGCATGTGCGTTTCGTTGGAAGCGGGCCAGCACGGTGGCACCTTGTTCTGTTGGCACGCTCGTTTTTATGTTTTGTTTTGTTATATCTCTATGTTTTTTTTGTTTTGTTGTTTGCTTTCTTTTTTGCCCCCCCTCTCTTTCTCTGTAGCCTGGCAAACTAATCGCGCACTGGCGCTGGAGCTCTGCCGGGGACTGCTCCTCAGCGGCTCGTTTCCATCGCGGGGAGGGCGGCACGCCAGGGGAGGGCGGCACGCCAGCGCGGCCCACCGCCCCCCCCCCCACACGCCTTCGCCGATCCCGACCGCACATCCGCGGTCACACTCGGGTCGCTGGCGGGGCCACGCCTGCGCAGTCGCGTCCGCGGGGGAACGGGTCTCGCGCCAGGGCCACGCCCGCCTCCTACTGCTTGCCCTCCGGCCCGCGGAGGCGGCGGCGCGAGCCGCTTGCCCGCTCCGCCGTCGGACCCGCGGTCCGCAACGGTGTGTGTGTGTGCGTGTGTGTGTGTGTGAGTGTGCGTGTGCGTGTGCGTGTGTGTGTGTGTGTGTGTGTGTGTGTGTGCGTGCGTGTGTGTGTGTGTGTGTGTGTCCCTGTCTCTCACTCTCTCTGCGTCTTTCTCTCGCTTTTTCTCTCTCTCTCTCTCTCTCTGTCTCGCAATTTGTTGTTATTGAATATTCATGTCTAGAGAATAGTTCTTGTTGATCTCCAGAAACGGTTCCGGGCGCTCTCGCCTCGACGCCAGCTACCTTTTCGCTGAAAAGGAGGCTCCCGCTCGAGCGTTGGCTTGAGCGTAAAAGTGGGCCCTTGGAGGCCCAGCTACGACGACAACGGCTCCCGCTCGATACGTCTTCACAATTTACACAGAGACACCCTGGCCAGAGAGGCCCCCGACCTCAGGAACGGCGCTCTCGCTCGAATCGTCTTCGCAGTTCAGTCGAGTTGGCGGAGGCCCAGCCACGACGACAAGGGCTCCTGCTCGATACTTTCGCACGATTTACTCCGAGAGTTCCTGGCCAGGAAGGCTCCCGAACTCAGGAACGGCGCTCTCGCTCGAAACGTCCTCGCGATTCAGTCAAATATGTGGAGGCCCAATTACGACGACAAGGGCTCTCGGTCGATATTTCTTCAGTGTATTCGCAGAGGCCCTTGCCAGAGAGGCCCCCGAACTCAAGAGTGGCGCTCTCGCTCGAGACTTTCTCGTAATTCAGGCAAGTTGGTGGAGGCCCAGACGCGGCGACAAGGATTCCCCATTTGATACTTCTCCATGTATTCTGAGAACCCCTGGCCAGAGAGGCCCTCGAAATCAGGAACGGTGCTCTCGCTCGAGAGTACCTCGCTCTTCAGTCAGTGGCCGACAAGGACCTAGGAAGATATTCCCCCCGAAAGGGGATGCGATCGAAGACGAAGTGGGCGGGTATCGAGGGTTGGGGTATGCAGAATTCAACACGCGTTCTTGTAAAAGCGAACAGTCTTTTAAACTGATTGTTGTTGTTGTGGTTGTTGTTACGGTTGTTGTTGGTGTTGTTGCTGTTGTCATTATCATTGTTGTTATCGCTCTCTCTCTCTTTCTTTTTGTTTCTCTCCCTGTCTCTCTGTGTCTCTCTCTCTCTGTCTGTCTGTCTGTCTGTCTGTCTGTCTGTCTGTCTGTCTGTCTGTCTGTCTCTCTCTCTCTCTAGATCTCTCTTTGCAGGCCCAGAGACTGTTGGAATCTGCGGCCTCCCCCATCCAGGGGCTCGCGGCTATCAGGCTCGACTGGATCACCTCACTTTCCGCCCAAAAGTAAAGATCGTAGTCGATGTCGTCGCCCCCTCCACTCCCTCGCCCTCCTTATCTTGCTCCTTTCTCTCCCTTCCTCTCTCCCCCTCTCCGCGTCCCTTTCCTCGTCCTCGTTCCCCGTCCTCGTCGTCGTCCTCTTCCATCCCCCTCCACTATCCATCCATTCGCTCTCTCCCTCCTGCTCACTCTTTTTTTCCCTCCTTCCACCCCTCTTCGGCATCCTCCGTGTCGCCATCATCGTTCTCCCTCTTGTCGTCTCTCTTTCTCCCTTCCCGCAAATGCGCTTTCTTCCTCCTGCTCCGCCTGATCGGGAGGACCGGAGTCGACGCTGTGCGGCGCAGTCTCCCCTTCCCCGCCCGCCCGCCGTTCCCCCCCCTCCCCCCCCCCGGGGCCCATAGCGATCCGATCAAGCCGATTCGACATCGGTTTCGGCTGACCCGAGTCGATGCGATTCGATGTGGCCCGATACCTGTTCGGCGGTGTCGTTGTGCATCCTGGTGCGGCCGATCCGATTCGGTCTCGATTCCGTGCCGATGCAGGCCGATCCGACGCACCATCCGATTCGATCCGAGTTTTCCGATTTGGTGTTGGCTGATCTTGTTTCCCCTACCTTCCTGTCATCGGCGTCGCCCCACCATACTGTTACTATGTGTGTGTGTGTGTCGCCCCCCCCCCAGTGGCGCAGCGCGCACCGAGAAATCTTATAGCATATGCGTCGTGGCGGGTGCTTCTTGACCACACCGCTCGGGAAACGATCTATTGCAAGATGGTTACATGTTCGGGTCGGACGCGCGCCTCCAAGGATGTCATATAGTACTCCCGCTGCTGGCGCAAAAAGCGCCCATCCACTGCTTCGACGGTGCCGCCCCCAGACCCCCCATTTCAATGTTACGTTCGCGGCCGATGTCGGGGTACCAGCATCGGCTTAAAAAACGCCCAATGCTCCACCGCCAAGGCAACCCCGTCTTCGACACTGACACTGGGGGGCGCGGGGGTTCTGAACACAGCAGCGTTGCCCATCGTGTCTGGTGGGCGTTTTTTACGCCAACGGCGGTAGTATGTTTCTGTGCGCCGCGGCCCGGCTGCTGCCACGGCCCCGCTGCCGTTGCTGGCCGCACCAGCCCAGTCGATATGGAAGCCGTTCGCGTCTGAGCGTCCTCCTCCTGTCCTCCGCGGCCGCCCCGCCCCCCCCTCTCTCCCCCCTCCTGCACGCGGGCCACTTCGCGTATCGGTCGCCCCGGATCGCCGCCCGCTGGAGCAGCACTTCTGCCCTGCCGCTGACGAAAAGTCCCATGTCATCTTCCCTCGGCGGCGTGCCTCCACCGAGGGAAGATGATCCCGATCTCGGTGATGGTGGTAATATTCTGGCTGCCGAGGTGGCCGAAATATTACCACCAACGCCAGAATCTAGGATCATCTTCCCCCTGTGGAGGCAATCCCTTTGTTTGGTGTTGGTGTTTATTTCCAGGCCTCCAACATGTCAGCCGGAAGATCGGGCCCGCCACGGGCTGGGATGGAGAGGAGGCCCTGGCCGCTGTTCCCTCCGCCCTGGGCACGGGCTGGCAGGAGCATCTCGGAGACTCCACGGCCTCGCGGGGCCGGGCGCCCCGCGAGGCGGCGCGGTCCCCCCCGGATGCAGAGCGCTCTTGCGCGGTGGCGTTGCGCAGAACGTATCCATGCGACCGCGCGTCCGCGGGATCGCTCGGAGGAACAGGTACTCATACCGCTACAGCGGAAACCCATGCCAAGAAACATCCTGCTTGCCTCCAGCGTGCCTTTGGTTTCTTGGGTTTCGATGGTTGCGTTACGGAAAGAAAGCGTGGCGCTCCCACACAAACATCGATGGTCATCCTGGGGTCTCAGAGTTGTGTTTCTTGTGGAAGGTTTCTTGTGGTCGAGCTCCTACTCTACCCATGCCGCTACCCTTCCCTCTTTTTCTCCATTTTGGGCCTCCTCAGAGGCCCTCGTCGCCACCGCTGGATTCGCCTCGAAGTTCTGGTCAGAACGCATTTCGCCTCGAAGTTCTGGTCAGAGCGCACCCCGGAAAAGGCCCAGAGAGTAGCGGTATCGGTGCCTTTTGGTCTCCCAATCGCACCTTGGAAGCCAGGCCGCGAGAGCGTGGGAGTGGATCCGCTCGCCGCTCGCGTGCCTCACCGAGCTGCAGGGCGCCCGCGGATCCGCCGTGCTCCTCCCGACCTGGGGTCGAACGCCGGCCTGAGATTGGCAGACTCCCGGTGAGTTCCGCTTGATCCTGGGCATCAGCCCGGGCCGAATCCCGGGTCCGTTCCAGCTCCCGTCAGTTCTCAGTGGCCACTTCATTGGGCCGAGTGGCTTTCAGTGGTTCTTGCGAAAACTCGCAGGCCTAGAGGTCGACACGAGCACCAATATCGGCAGTGTGCCTCCACCGAGGCAAGAAGATCCCGATCTCGGTGATGGTGGTAATATTCTGTCTTCCAAGGTGACCGAAATATTACCACCAACAGCGAAAGCTAGGATCATCTTCCCCCTGGGGAGGCAACCCCCTGTGTTGGTGTTGGTGCCCGTTTCCAGGCCTCCAAAAAAGTTGTTTCCTAACTGTTAGGAGGCAATGTCTTCGTAAGAGCCGCTGGGGACCACTCGGGATGGCCTTTGGTGCTGGGACCCACAGCACTGAGCTGCAGGCCCTCCGCGGAGCTGCCGTGCCTCTCCCGACCCGTGCCGTCGCGAGGCGGACGCGGCCATGCGCTCGCACGGGTACGAGGGCGAGCCCGTGGTACCGATGCCAGATCAGAGCGAGGCGGCTGCCGAGCCAAGGGGGCTCCGAGAATCGCAAGAGGCCAGCAGCGATGTTGATGATGGTGGTGATGACGAAGATGCTGATGGTGGTGGTGATGACAATGATGATGGCGATGATGGTTGTAATGATGATGGTGATGGTGATGATGACGGTGGGGTTGATGATGTTGTTGACGATAGTGAAGGTGATTGTGGTGGGGATGGGAATGTTGATGGTGATTGTGATGATGGTGACGTTGGTGATGATGGTGATGTTCATGGTGATGGTAATAGTGATGGTGGTGGTGAGGAGTATGATGATAAAAAGGATGAGGACGAGGATGAGAAGGATGCTGATGATGATGCTGATGGTAGTCGTGATGATGATGATGCTGATGGTTGTGGTGGTGGTGATGGTGATGGTGATGGCGATGGAGATGATGATGGTGATGGTTTTGTTGATGATGGTGATGGCGATGATGATCGTTGTGGTGATCATGAAAGCTGATGATGGCGATGGTGGTAATGGCGATGATGACCATGACGATGTCGGCGACGACGACGACGACGGCGAGGATGATGATGATGATGTTGATGATGATGATGATGATGATGATGATGATGATGATGTTAATGTTGATGTTGATAGTGTCGGTGGTGGTGGTGATGATGAGGGTCGCCTGATCCTGATCGAGCGAGGACACTACAGCAGGGCACGACGTCACCCCAGCAACCAAGGGGTGCTTTCCAGCAGCTATTTTTTTATCGGGCGAGGGCGCTCTGGCAGGCCACGACGTCTCTTCAGCAGCCCAGGGCAGGTGCTCCAGCGCCTCGTCTGTAATCGAGCGACGGCACTCCGTCGGGACACGGCGTCCTTCAGCGGTCGGTCGCTCGGCGGGTCGGTCGTTGCCAACGCCGCCGCCGCGGTCGTTGTCGTCGGCGTCGTCGGCGTCATACTAGCCGCCACAGTGGTCACCAACGTCGCAATCGCCGCCGCGGTCGTTGCAGCCGTCGTTGCCCTCGCCGCCGCCGCCACCGTCGGGGGTCGTCGTCGTGTTCGTCGTCTAGGTCGTCGTCGTCGTCGTGGTCACCAACGTCGCCATCGCTGCCGCGGTCGTCGCAGTCGTCGCTGCAATCGTTGGCGCCGTCGCCGTCGCTGTCACCATCGCCGTCGCCGTGATCGCCGACGTCGCCGTAATGGCTGATGTCGCAACTGTCGTCGCCGCCGTCACTGCCGCTGTCGTCGTCGTGGTCGTTGCCGACGTTTTGCCGACGTCGCCTTCGCCGCGGTCTCGTCGAGCCATTCGGGCAGATCAGCACGAATGTTGGACTTGTTCCAGCAACGCATATCCCTGGTTATAAGGTGTGAACGTCTTGGGACTCTTGGGACCGAGGAGGTGGTAGTATTAAACTCATACGAACAACTTGAGGTTCTGGACGGTTTTGACTTCTTACGCTTTCCCCAAGGACCCCGAAGATAATCAAACAGAGGACCAAGACGGACCGCTTGTGCCATCTAAGCATATGCTGGAAGCTTGGTTGCGCAACCACTGCCCTCAGGCTTTAAACAACTTAGGCGGCATTCTTTTTATACATTACCAGTGACGCTGCCGTGCGATTCCGTCACCGCGCTCGGGCGGGCGCCTGGGGGGGTGGGGGGGCGGGCGGGCGCCGGGGGGGTGTCCAATGAACGTCACTCTCCCAACCTCGTATTTGGTCACATGTTCTGCCTGGAAGGCCAAATACGCAGGGACTTGGTCATACAAATGCACGCATTTTGGGCTCGATGAGCTGGGGGGGTCCAAATATTGCTTGGCAAGGAGCGAGAGGGCCCGACACACACCTACCGCTGCAAGCGCGGTGGCGGATGTACAGAAAGAGAGAGAGAGAGAGAGCGCACGCATGGATTCCGAAAGTATACTGAGATACAGCGGAGACTTAAAGCCACTCCACTGCGTGCCAGACGCAGTGTGTCGGATACCTTTATCGGCAATGGCTCCGACATTCCCAATCATCGGGATATCGAGAAGAGCATCACAAAGCACAATTCTTGACGCTTCGCGTATCCCCACCAGCCTTTCCACGTCCTGGCCGCTCCGCTTTTCGGCGCCGTCGCCCTGGAGTACGACTTCCAGTTCATGTGGTGCATACTGTGCCAGGTTCACGCTTCTCCTGGCCGACGCTTCCCCCCAGCGTTGCCGGCCTGACTGACACTGGGCACGGCGACGTGGTGTCCACCTGTGATTGGGCCTGTGTCGGCTCGCCGGCGAGCACATGGTGCTCCGTGAGTGAGACCACCCGCTTTTCCCTCCCTTCTTCGTTCTTCCGTCGCCTCGCTCCTCCTCCCCCGCCGTTTTTCCGTCGCCCTGCTCGGCGCCTGGCGTCCTTGTGCTGGTGTACGTCGCCACGCGCGGCTCGTCTGCTCGTTTTCCCGAATTTGTTCTGCATGTGCACAAATTATCTGGCTCTGTGCCCCACTTTGCCTGATTGACACGCCCTCTGGACTTTTCCTTGCGGGCCGCAGAGCAAAACACATATCCCCACCAGCACCGCACCTCTTGTGTGCAATTCGCCTGTACCGCCGTCCCGGACACGCTTGTCGCCGCCAGACCGTAATCGCGCGGCCGCCGACCAAAAAGTATCCCCACCAGCCTTGTGGCCACCCTCCGCTGCTTTAGTTTAATTCGTCTCTGCGTGCCCCGCATTGACTGGACTCGCCGCTGGCGCGCTCGCCCGCGGCCGCTGACAAAAAAATATCCCCACCAGCCCATCCAGACAAGATCGGAGGCTGTCTTGAGGCCTCTTGCAGGCTATCGTGAGCCATGCTCGGCTAGAGGCTGTCGGAGGCTATCCTGAGCCATGCTCAGCTATTTTGGACCGTTATGTGGCTGCCTTGAGGCCTTTTGGAGGTCTGTCGGAGGCTATATTGAGCCATGCTCGACCTCCTCGTACCATCTTGGGGGTAGGAGGAGGAAGAGGAGGAGGAGGAGGAGGAGGAGGAGGAGGAGGAGGAGGAGGAGGAGGAGGAGGAGGAGGAGGAGGAGGAGGAGGAGGAGGAGGGAGGAGGAGGAGGAGGAGGAAGGAGGAGGAGGAGGAGAAAGAGGAGGAGGAGGAGGAGGAGGAGGAGAAAGAGGAGGAGGAGGAGGAGGAGGAGGAGGAGGAGGAGAAAAACGAGAGACAGAGGAGGAGGAGGAGGAGGGTGGAGAAGATGAGGAGGTGGAAGAGGAGGGAGGAGGAGGCAGGGAAGGAGGAGGGATGAAACGGACGATGACAAGGAGGATGGGAAGTCGGGTTTCGGAGGCATGTTGCTATGAAAGGTTCTTGGAGGACGACGAATGCCATCTTAGGGGCTCTCTTGGGCCTCCGTGGGGCACTATTGGGGCCCTCTGAGGGCTCATATTGGGTGTCTTGGGATCCTCTTGGGGCTCCTTGGAGTCTTGAGGCCCTCTTGGGGTCCTCTTGGGCGCTTTTGGGGCCCTCTTGGGCCCCTCTGGGTGCTCTCTTGGGCCGTCTGGGGGCCATCGTAAGGCCTCAAGAGCCCATCGGAAGCGACAAGGCGAGAAGGCAAACCACAGTGACTTCCCGTTGGTTTGGGAGCCATTCTTGGCCTCTTGTGTGGGGGTCCTTGGAGGGCTCCGGCGGGCACTTGAAGCCGTCTGGGGCCGTCTTGATGCCTCTTGGGGTGTCTGTCGAAGGCTATATTGGGCCAGCTGGAGGTACAGTCAACCCACATAGTAAGGATGGGCAATCTTCCCAAGGATACCCTTGCATCCTTGCCTCCTCGGCCCATCCTTGGCCACTTTCGCTGGCCGCGCCCCTGTCGAAAAGCTTCGACGTGGCCTTCCTAAGCCCTTGCATCCGTATCGTGCGTCCTTCTTGCACAGGTTGACCGTGCCTTGAGCCATCCTTGGAGGCCACCCTGCGGTCTCCGAGGCCCTCCTGCATCCACGCTGTGGGCGATCTCCTGGGCGCGCTCCGACCCCTCGCGGGGCGCCCCGTACAGGCCCAGGGGAGGGGGGGGGCGGGGAGAGAGGGGTACCCGTAAGTCGGGCCTGGCCCCCTACAGGAGGAATCTTCAAGCATGGTCAAAAAATAGTCTGGGGACGATTCTTGGAGTATTTGTTTAGAATATTTTGAAGTATTTGTTTGCGTATTTTTCCATACCTAGGCTCTGCCTAGAAGGGTTCTTACTCTCTAGCTTAAAGGGGCCGGGCAGTGGAAAGCGCCCCGGGCGGTTCCCCCAGTCCCCGCCCCGCGGTTCCCCCAGTCGCGCCCCCTGGGTTCACCCAGCTTAGCTTAGCTTAGCTTAGCTAAGCTTGGCTTAGCTTAGCTTAGCTTAGCTTATCTCATCTTAGCTTAGCTTAGCTTAGCTTTGCCTAGCCTAGCTTAGCTTAGCTTAGCCTAGCTCATATTAGCCTAGCTGAGCTTAGCTTAGCTTAGCTTAGGTTAGCATGGCTTAGCTTAGTTTAGCTTAGTTTAGCTTAGCTTAGCTTCGCCTAGCCTAGCTTAGCTTAGCTTAGCTTAGTTTAGCTTAACATATATTAGCTTAGTTTAGCTTAGCTTAGCTTAGCGCAGCGCATCATAGCGCAGCGCAGCATGAGCACAGCATGGCATAGCATAGCATAGCCAAGCATAGCATAGCATAGCACAGCATAGCATAGCTCTGCATAGCATCGCATAGCATATCATAGCAGTGCATCGCATAGCATAGCATAGCATTGCTTAGCATAGCACAGCGCAGCATAGCCTTGCATAGCACAGCACATCGCAGCATAGCATAGCATATCATAGCATAGCATAGCATATCACAACATATCATAGCATAGCATAGCATAGCATAGCGCGGCATATAATGTCATATCATAGCCTAGCATAGCATAGCATAGCATAGCATAGCCCAGCATAGCATAGCATAGCATAGCATAGCGCAGCATAGCATAGCATATCATAACACTGCTACTACCGCTACTGCTACAACTGCGACGATGAGGAGAAGGAGGAGGACGGCGTTTACCGTTACTACTAATATTGCTCTCCTAGGGGCTCCAACTCCTAGGTAGGGTCGCTCTTGGATAATTTCATTTTTCGTCCAGAGTCCCCCTGTAGGAGGACAGGCCCGATTTGAGATAACCCTCCTCCCCCGAGCGGGGAGGGACGGGTTTTGGCAGGGAGAACGAGCTTCGTAAAGCCGCCTGCCTTGCGCCCAGAGGGCCGGTGGGGTTGCACCAACGACGGTGACCTGAGCATCAAGCGTACAGCATGCGTAGCCATTTTGGTGCATGTATTAAACTTCAGGGTATCACACGCTGGCGCGTTTGCCAAGTTTGCGTTGACGCGGCATCTTTTTTGGTCGTTCGTTTGCAGCCGCTATTGCAAAGATGATATTTGTTGGCATTGCGTTCATGTTGTTAGCTGGCGTTGCTGTTACAGGAGAGATGGTTTTCAGTATGGTGATGCTTCAGATGCAGTGGCCATATTGGCGCATCACTTCGCTGAGCTGCGTAGTGTGCCTTGTTGTTGTGATGATTGTGGTTTCGGCCTTGCGCACACCGCTGCCCTCCAGACCACAAATGAAGTGGGTGCTCCTTCTGGGACTCTTCTCAGCTGTCTACTGGGGCCTCGGTGTCCTTGCTGTGCAGACGGGCGTCGACCCAGGCGACGTTGCTGCACTGACAAGTATAAATATAGTCGTTGCTGCAATTATGGGACGCGTTTTCTTGAACGAAACATTTCGATGCTTGCACATGGTAGCCGTCGTTCTCTCGATATCTGGTGCGATTATGATTGCCAGGCCCACATTTATGTTCGGTTCCACGCAGCACGCGAGGCCACCCTTCTACGGTTTTCTGTTCGCTATCGCTTCTGGTGGTCTTCAGGGTTGTTTCTTTATCTGCTGCCGCAAAGCGAGTGACGTTTCCGCTGGACACCAGACGCTATCCAGGTGCCTGCGGCACATCCGCCACCGTGCCGGCGAAACACTCTGTGTGGCGATTCTTCAAGCATCGGCCAGAAGGCCGACGCATGTGACACTTCTCATCTCCATCTCTTGAGGAGCTCTCATTGGACTGTTTGGGCTATCTTGGGGCTGTTTTGAGTCACTTCGGGACATTGGGGGGTCCTTTGTGGCCTTCTCGGGCCGTCTTGGGGCTTTCTGGACCGTCTGGGGGATCTCTTGGGACCGTCGGGGGGCCAGTCTGGGGCATTATTTGGCCGTTTAGGTTTAGGGGTCCTGTTGGTTTCTTTGGAGACCCTCGTGAGCCCGCTTGGGGCTCTCTTGGGGCCCTCCTGTGCTGTGTAGGGGCCCTCTTGGGACTTTAAGTGGTCTCCTTTTGGGCCCACGAAAACCGCAAGTGGACCGTTCTTCGACCGAAGAGTGGAAATCTGGGTGTTTTGAGAAATCACGTGGAACATACCTATGGTTAGTGGTTTCTCGTGGGCCTGGAGAGCGTCTCGGGGAGATCTCGTGGCTTGTTGGAGGGCAGGTTTTTTGTGTTCTTCGGGGCAACATTGAGTCGTCTTGGCGGCCTTGTTGGTGTCCTTCCTGGGCCGTCCTGGAAGCCTCGGAAAGCTTGGGAGAGTCCCAGGGGCGCTTCGGGACGCCCATGAAGCTTCGCGAGAGGGCAGGTGCCAGCGACGAACGTGAGGAGAGGGGGGCCCCTCAGTCGACTTACAGAAACCCTACCAGACAGCAGTTGGCATCCCACCACGCCTTAACGTGAAAGGTGGCACGGTGGCGGATCTGCATTATTGTTTTCTGGAATCTATTGTGCCTTTATTCCTTTCACACCTGTGGTTCAGGAGGCTTCATTTCTTATCGCGCTGGACGTGCCTTGGGAAGGGCTTGCGTGGACAGGCGTTGCAGTGGTGACTACCCTGGGCTCTGCTTTTTTCAGCTGTGCTGGTTCGATGCTGTGCCCGGCTGCCATCAGCGCCACGGTGTATACAGCTTCATCTATGTTTTTTGGTTACTTGGTGCAAACCGTATTTTTTGGATCGGCGCCAGAGTTTGCAACAGTTTTGGGCGCTTTTCTCATGTTGGCTTCGGTCTCTGTCATGGCACTGGCCGCTCGAGGAAAGACATCGTCGCATGACGCTGATGCTGAAAAGGCCGGCGACACGAATCATGCAGCCCAAGCAGCAAGCTATGCTGTTGCGGATGACGACACAGGGAGTTTGGCATCTTTCATTGCGTCCGAGTTCAGCGCTTTCGATGCAACAACCGAGACCATTCGCTTCCGAGGCCACGTCGGCCGACATGACGGCGTGCTTCCTCAGCAAGTGGGTGGATCAAGTTGATTCGCATTGTTCGTGACTCAATTTTTTTGTCGGTCGTGGCAGCATTACAGTCGACGTTGGGCTTATGACTCGGTGATGTGCGTCTACCGCAGGGCAGATGGTATTACAATGGTGTTCGCCTCCCGCTATGCCCAGACAGCGATGGCGCAGTATACAGTGATTGGTCTGCTTGCCACGCATTCCATGCCCGTGTCTGAGTCATGTGCGAAGACGCATGTTTTGATATATAGGTTCATCACCGCATGTTTCGAAATCCTGTAAACAGCGCAACAGCGCATATGCCTCACATCAGGTGTGCCCGTACACATTGCCCTCAACATAGATAAACAGACGCTTGCCGGCGTGAACCCCAATCAGTAGGCTCTTACATGTTCGATGTGCGCCAATCGTGTGCAATCTGTATTTATGTATGGAATGGAAGCTGGGTGGTGCAGTCTATGTGGTGTCGGGTAGCCGTTGGAGACAGTCCGCAGATAATGGTACGCTCTTGGCGTGGTCACTGCATGGCGGTTCTCCTTGTGAGAGGGCACTGCGCCATCTTGGCCTGGGAGGTCCGCTTGGCGTAGTCATCACTGAATCCCTGCGACCTCTGCCGCATCACCATCTCCTGCGCACTCCGTGCTTCCTGGCAGACCAAGACCCCGATGCAGACTCCTCTTGATTATCGTACAGCTCTCGAAGAAGAATAACGTTATAAAAAACATAGACTTTTGGCGCTCCGCGCGGATTTCTTGGATCCGCGCCTGGCCCCCCCTCCTCCCGGCGGCGCCTCCGGCGCCGCCCATGGCTCGCTCCGCGCGCCAGGGAGGGGGGTCTAGCGCGGATCCCAGAAACCTGCGCGGAGCGCCAAAAGTTTATGTTGATGGCGTATTTTCTTCTAAGTTGGTGCCCAGTGCAGTGACAACGTGACGCACGACGAGCATTCCCCACGAAACGCTGTACTGGGTGGCGCGGGCGCATGCGGCCGCGGCCACTGGGGCCTTCGGTGGAATGCTTCCACGCCTGAGTGCACCCAACCATGACACGGAGGACCCCTCTGGTGGGTGGGCCTCGCGTGGCCAGATCTCGGCTTGGGGTGGCGGGCGTGCGTCAGGAAATTGTCGTGCCTCCTCTTCCTCCTCCCTCCCCGGCCGCCTCTTCTTCCCCGAGCCACACTGCCCACCAGCGGTCGGCCGCTTCGGCGCGACCGCGACGAGTCCTGTGGCGCCGCGGCCAAGAATAGAGCCGGGGCGCTGCTGGCGCATGCCGTCGCTCTTCGCCCCCTCCCCTCCCCGCCTTCGCCTCTCCTCGCCGCCGGTCCCCCGCGCCAAAGAAGAATGAGAACAACTGCATAAGAAGCATACCCGTCGGTCGTTGAACGTAGGTATTTCCAATCTACTTCAGGCGCCTTCCTACTTCAAGTGCCGGGCGGTTTTACCTCTTCCCTCCTCTTCAGGGGCTGGGTGGAAGCCCAATCTGCTTCAACGCCTTCCTACTTAATTTTTTACCGACTTCTTCCGACCGACTTGTAGACTTTCCGAGGTCCACGCGGATTCCTCATGTCGGCGCTGGACCCCTCTCCCTGGCGTGCAGAGCGCGCCAGAGGCGTTGCCGGAAGCGTCGCCATGGCGCCCCAGCGCCGATCCATGGATTTTGCTCGGACAGCCGAGAGTCTATGCTCATGCAGCTTTGAATTGGATTCCCCACCCGCCCTCTGGCCTCTGGCTGAACCTTCGTTTTGAACAGAGCCTGCCTTCGTCTTCCTCGTGCCGCATTCCTCCTCCTCCTCCTCCTTCTCCTCCCCCTTCCATAAGCATAAACTTTGGGAGGTCCGCGCAGATCCGAGAATGTAGCTCGGACCTCCAGGGAAGTCTGTGCCTGTGCACTCGCCTCCCGTCCGGAGCGGGGTCGCCCGGCGGCAGGACTACCCGCGGGCCACCAGCCGCGACGGGAGCGCCCCAGACCCGCACGAGGTTCAGTACGACGTTCCCGCGCAGCCGGAGTCGGACACGGAGCGCGGCCGGGGTGCCCGCGCCACTGTTCTCGGAGGAGGGCCGAGGCTCAGAGGAGGGAGACATGCTGCCGATACCGCGAAGCACCCGTCAGCCTCGTCGTCAAGGCGGGATGTGCTTCTTGCAGGCCAGGTCAAGAAGGCACCCCTGGAGAGGTCCGCGGATCAGCGGTATCGGTATTTTCCCGTACCCCCGGCGTCGAGGCAACGGCGGCACTCCCTGGTGTTGTTTCCCGTCCTGGTTTGTGACCGCATGGGGCGCCGGCAGGGGTGGATCTGGCTCAGGGGGGCAATCCCCCATTCCTCGCCGATCGGGGCTTATTGGGTGCTCCGACCTCATTCTTCTCCTCGTCCTCGCCCTGCTTCTCCCTCCTCTCCCTCCTCTGGTCCGTGCAGCTTGCAGGCTCACGGCTCTGGCTTCCCCCTGTTCGGGAAGCGGCGGATCTTCAGTGTACCTCACGTGGTTCCTTGTTTCCTCGACGGGGTCACTCGATCGGCGCGTCCTCTCCCTCCTCCACCTCCTCCTCGTCCGTCTCATTCAAATCGCACTGACTGACGTCGCCCCCCGAGGCCGCTCTTCGTCGTCTTCTTCTTCTTCTTATTATTATTATTATTATCATGATTATTATTCTTGTTATTATTATTATTACTACTCTTTTCTTCGTCTTCTGATTAGTATTGCTATTAGTTGTCTTATTATGATTATTAGTCGTAGTATTCATTGGTATCAAGTATTTTTAGTAGTTCTTTTTCTTCATCCTCCTACTCCTCCTCCTCCTCCTCCTCCTCCTGGTCCTCCTCCCCCCCGAACCCTCCTCGCCATCACCACCCTCCCCTTCCTCTTTCTCCCCCCCTGGAGGGGGGGCGGTGGGGAGGAGGGAGACGGGCCCCCTCGCTTCCTCGGCGGAGGCAATGGATCGGCGTGTCCTCCTCCTCCTCCTCCTCCTCCTCCTCCTCCTCTAGTATGTTCACCATGCGCATCATCAACAACATCATCGTCATCGTCATCGTCATCATCATCATCAGCAGCAGCAGCAGCATCATCATCATCATCGGTTCCAGTGTCGAATCCCCCCCTGCGAAACTATTTTTTTTCCTTTGCCCTATTTTCTTTTTCCGCAGCGATGTTCGTTGGTTTACCTACCTCGCTTTGCGAAGCTGAGTTGGCCGCGTGGTGAGGTGCTCGATTTGCGAACCTCGCTGCCTTTGGTTCGTGACCACGTGGGGCGGAAGGGGGGGTATCCTCCGCGCCTCTTCGTTGCTGCTGGCGCCAGTGGGGGGGGCAACCAAAAAGGAACAACGAAACAATACATTGACTTTTTTTCTTTTTTGTTTGCCCCCCCCCCAGGCGCCAGCAGCAACGGGGAGGGAAGGGATGGGCCCTGTCCTTCCACGCTCCCCCCCCTCTCTCTTCTCGCCCCCCTTCCCTCCTCCCCCCTGTGCCTTGGGAAGAAACGGAGGACAGTACCAGTTTTTGTTCTAATACCGTGCCCAGCCAGTAGTCGTATTGCATAAACGAAGTGGCAGCACTGTAACAGTCCTGTAGTAGTAGTAGTAGTAGTAGTAGTAGTAGTAGTAGTAGTAGTAGTAGTAGTAGTACTCAGATCGAGCAGTAAAGATCATATCCTACAGTGTTTGCTGTAGTAGGCGCACTGTAGTGTTGTAGTAGAGGTACTCCACTACTGTAATACTCGAAAAGAATAGTATTGTCGCCGAAATGTGCACTAGCGGTAGTGCTGTAGGAAAAATGTTGCACTATTGTGGAGCAGTGCTGCTATTGTAGTAGTTGCACTGCCGAACAATACTCTAGTACCAGACTCGCTAGAATAATAGTCCACTGTTGCCTGCAGCGGGTGTACTGCAGTATTGTGGTAGGAATACTCAAATGCCGCACCCCGCGCTGTTGTAGTAGTCTGGTGCTGTAGTGCTGTAGCGGTGGCGCTGCAATAGTCGTAGCACAGTACTGCAGTAGCCGTGCTCCAGTAGTGCTACTCTAGGACTGCACTCGTGGTATCATAGTACCGTGCCCAGCCATACTAGTATTGTAGAAGTGAAGTGGCAGCGCAGTAGTCATCCAATCTGTCGTAGTAGTAGTAGTAGTAGTAGTAGTAGCAGCAGCAGTAGCAGTAGCAGTAGCAGTAGTAGTATTAGTAGTAGTAGTAGTAGTAGTAGTAGCAGCAGCAGCAGTAGTACTAGTTCTAGCACTAGTACTAGTGCTAGTACTAGTACTAGTACTAGCACTAGTACTAGCACTAGCACTAGCACTAGCACTCGCACTAGTACTAGCAGTAGTACGAGTAGTAATAGTAGTACTAGTAGGTAGGATTCAGGTGTGACAGCAAAAGGCCATAGCTTAGCATTGGGTTTAGCAGTCGCACTGTAGTACTGTAGTAGAAATAACCCACTGCTGTCGTACTCGGATATAGTATTGATGCAATCGAACTGGAGTGCATCAGTAGTAGCGCTGTAGGAATCGTTTCGTGCTGTTGTGGAGCAGTGGCGTACTAGTGTAGTAGTGGTACCGTAGACGCAGTGCTCTAGGACATGATGCGTTAGAGTAGTACCCAACGATTGTCTGCACTAATGTAATAGGAATACTCCACTGCCGCAGCATGACAAAAACAACTATCGTGGTAGTATCTTAATGTGGTGCTGTAGTGGTGACGCTGTAGCAGTAGCAGTAGACGTTGTAATGGTCGTAATGCAACACTGCACCAGTAATATGGCATAAGTGATACTTTCGCACTGTGCTGGTATTGCTCTGATACTGGCAGTAGTCGTACTGGATCCTTAACAGTGGAGTAATCAGGCACGGCCGCCGTGCCCTAGCAGCGTAGCGCCGTAATAGTACAGTATTCATGGCATTCTACTGAGGTCGTCGTAGTTGTGCTCTGGTACAGTAGTAGTTTTAACAACGTAGTGGTGGTTGTGGGAACAACACGGTCTTGTACCACTTTAATAGTGTAGCATCACTCTATATGGTCGAGCTGTTGTACTAGCAATTGCGTTGCAGGGGTAGTCGTACCCTAATACTGTGATAGTAGAACCGTTGTAGCAATGAGGTCGTATTAATACTTAGTATTGGAATGGCAAGTGAAGGTATGAGACTCACGGTAGGCGTTGGCTGAGGTCAGGCTCAGGCCGAGGCTCCAGCTGAGGCTTGGGGCTTATCTTAGGTTGAGGTTGAGGCTTTGATTGACGCTAGGCTGAGGCTTAGGCTACGCTTGGGATTGGCTTAGGCTGAGGCTTCCGCCGAAGCTCAGGCTGCGGCCTGGACGAGGCTCAGGCTAGGCTTAGGCTGAGGTGTAGGCTAGGCTGAGGCTGAGGCTTAGGCTGAAGCTTGGGTCAGGCTTAAGCTATACTCAGGCTAAACTAAAGCTTAGGCTTGCCTGGCTTAGGCGGAGGTTTAGGCCAGGCGGGGGCTGGAGTTTAGGCTTAGGATTGGGTTTGGGCCATGTTTAGGCAACGCTTAGGCTAAAGCTTAGGCTAGACCGAGGCTGAAGCTTAGGCTCTGGCCAGGCTTAGGCCAGGCTGAAGAAGCAGAGTCTGCTCTAGACAGAAGCTGAATCTGAGGCTTAGGCTAGACTTCGGCTAAACTTCGGCTGGGACTTAAGCTGGGCTGGGCTGAGGCTTAGCCGCTGCTTAGGCTGAAACTTAGGTGGACGGCGGCGGAAAGAGAGAGAGAGAGGAGTGGGAGGCAGCGCCGAAGAAAAGCATAGCGGGTATACCACGCCGATACCAACAGGAGGCAAACGATGCGTTCCGCCTCCCACAAAACAAAATCCTTTCAAGCGCAGGGGGGGATTCGACCTTTGAACCCATCATATCATCCTCCTCATCATCAGCATCATCATACTCATCATTATCAGCATCATCATCAGCATCATCATCATCATTATTATCATCCTTATTATCATCATCATCATTATCATCATCCGCAGCATCACCATCAGCAGCATCATCACCACTGTTCGCCATGCATTGGTGGATTCCCGACTGCGGGCCAGCGGCATTACGTTGAACAAGACGTTTTTTGGCGGCTGTTCGGCGACTGGCGCTGCGATGCGTTCGGATTTGGGCCTGCTGCGCGCAGCCTTCCACGCCATGAGAGACCAGTTCAGTTGGCCGTGCGCCGTGCGCCACATAGCCGTTTGCGCCGTGCGCCGCGCCCGCTCTGAGCGTCTCTGGTTCGCTGGATATCGCATCTGCCGATCATCATCATCATCATCATCATCATCATCATCATCATCATCATCATCATCATCATCATCATCATCATCATCATTGTCATCATCATTGTCAGCATCCTCATCGCCATCATCGTCAGCATCATCATTGTCATGATGATGATCATGATGATGATGATGATGATGATGATGATGATGATGATGATGATGATGATCAACATCATCAGCATCATCAGCTACACCATTGTCATTTTCATCACCATCGTCATCAGCGTAATCAGCATCGTCATCGGCATCAGCATCGTCATCAGCAGCACTCTAAACAGCAGCATCATCATCACAGTCGTCATCGTCATCATCAGACGCATAAGCAGGAGCACCACAATCGTCATCATCATCGTCATCGTCATCCTCATCAGCAGCATCATCGCCATCATCCTCATCCTCATGATGATCATCATTATCATCGTCATCGGGATCATCATCGGCACCATCATCAGCATCATCATCATCATCGTCATCATCGTCATCATCATCACGACTGTTCGCCATCCCTGCTACATTGCGGATTCCCGACTGCGAACCAGCGGCATTACTTCGAACAAGACGTTTCCTGGAGGCTGTTCCGCGACTGGCGCTGGGTTGCGTTCGAATTTGGGCATGCTGCGCGCAGCAACGACCCAAACACTCTTCCACGCCATGAACGACCATTTCAGTAGGTCGGCCGCGTGCCGTGCGCCACATCGCCATTTGCGTCGCGCGCCGCGCCCGCTCTGTGCTGTATGTCATCATCATCAGCAGCATCATCATCATCGTCATCATCATCGTTACCATCAGCATCATCATCTTCGTCATCATCGTCAGCATCATCATCATCATCATCATCATCATCATCATCATCACCATCATCATCATCATCATAAGCAGCAGCATCATCATCGACATCGTCATCATCATCAGCATCAGCACCGTCATCATACTCATCATCATCATCATCATTATCATCATCATCGTAAGCAGCATCATCATCACCATCATCATGATCATCATAGTCATCATCATCAGCATCATCATCGTCATCATCCTCGTCATCGTCATTATCATCAGGATCATTATCGTCATGATGCTGATGATGATCACGATCATCAGCCTCATCATCATCAGCAGCATCCTAAGCAGCAACAGCATCATCATCATCGTCATCGTCATGGTCATCAGCAGCATCACCATCGTCATCATCATCCTCATCACGATCAGCATCATCATCGTCATCCTCATCATATCATCAGCATCATTATCGTCATGATGATGATGGTCATCATCAGCATCACCACTGTTCGCCATCCCTGCTACATATGCGGGTTCCCGATTGCGGGCCAGCGGCACTATGTTCATCATCATCAGCATCATCATCATCATCATCGTCACCAGCATCGTCATCAGCATCATCATCATCATCATCATAAGCATCAGCATCATCATCATCATCATCATCATCATCACAATCCTCATCATCATTATCATCAGCATCATCATTGGCATCGTCATCGTTATCATCGTCATCAGCATCAGCATCAGCATCAGCAGCATCATGGTCATCCTCCTCACCATCATCGTCATCATCATCATCAGCAGCAGCATGATCATCATCAGCATTATCATCATCATCATCACCACCACCATCATCATCATCATCATCATCATCATCATCATCATCATCATCATCATCATCATCGTCATCATCATCATCATCATCATCATCATCATCATCATCATCGTCATCGGATGGGGCCGAGGCGCCTGGCCGTGCGAGCCGCGCCCCGGGGCCCACGGGGTGGGAAGGACATGTACGGGCGGCCCTCGATGGTCGCGGACGAGGAGCTGCGGAGGAGCCTTGGGGGCAGCCGAGCCCTCCCCCGCCACTGAGAGGGCCCTCCACTCCCCACGTGCCATATATATATATATATACACACACATGTATAGATATACACAGATATACATACATATCAAATATTGCATTGAGACTGCATTGGCGCTTCGCGCCATGCAGCGTGGTCCTTGAAGTTTGGCATGCAGGCGAAATGACAGGAAGTTCAAACAGACAATTTAGTGCGAACTCCTTGTTGCAGCAACCGGCATCGCCGTTATAGTAATGTGATTCGTTATCTTTCCTCCATGATTATGTGTCCTCATTCTCGCCCTACCCTGCGAAGTCTTCCCCATCCTCCTCAGCTCATTTTGCGGAGGCTCCTCCTTGGAAAGCCTCTGGGGGCCTCACGGAAGCTTTTCGGGCTTTCTTAAGGCCTTTTGGAGACCTCCTGGGCGTTTTTTTGGGGCCTCTGGGGACTTCCTCGGGTCTCCCTGAACGACCAGGTCACGATTTGGAATGCTTCGGAGGGTGTCTTGGGACCACCTTGGGCCGTCATGAGGCTCTCTTAGGCCATCTTGGAACCCTGTTGTGCCGTCTCGGGGCTCTCTTGGATTGCGCGGAAGCCCTTTCGGATGGTGGTGAGGCGATGTTCGAGTCTCCCAGGCTGTCTCGGACGCCCAGAAGTCCGAAGAACAGAGCACTCCCAAAAAATCATGCAATTATTCACTGCGTGGGGATCCCCATATGTGCATCTCCTTGCTGGCGCTCCCTTGGTGGTGGGACTCGGTGAGGACGAATCTGGATCTAAGTGTGACTGAGCTGCCTCTCTCTCTGCTCTCTCTGCTCTCTCTGTCTCTCTCTCTCTCTCTGCCCTCTCTCTGTCTCTGCCTCTCTTTCCCTGCCTCTCTCTCTCTCTCTGCCTCTCTCTCTGCCTCTCTCTCTCTGCCTCTCTCTCTCTGCCTCTCTCTCTGTGCCTCTCTCTCTCTGCCTCTATCTCTGCCTCTCTCTCTCTCTCTCTCTCTCTCTCTCCTCTCTCTCTTCTCTCTATTCTCTCTCTGCTCTCTCCTCTCTCTCTCACTCTCCCTCTCTCTCTCTCTCGCTCTCTCTCTTCTCTTCTCTTCTCTTCTCTTCTCTCTCTCTCTCTCTATATCTCTCTCTCTCTCTTTCTCTCTCTATCTCTCTCTCTCTCTCTCTCTCTCTCTCTCTCTCTCTCTCTCTCTCTTCTCTCTCTCTCTCTCTTTCGCTCTCTCGCTCTCTCTTGCTCTCTCTCGCTCTCTGTCGCTCTCTCTCGCTCTCTCTCTCTCTCTCTCTCTCTCTCTCGCTCTCACTCGCTCTCTCTCGCTCTCTCTCGCTCTCCCTCGCTCTCTCCCGCTCTCTCTCTCTCTCTCTCTCTGCTCTCTCTCTCTCTCTCGTCTCTCGCTCTCTCTCTCTCTCTCTCTCTCTCTCTCTCTCTCTCTCTCTCTCTCTCTCTCTCTCTCTCTCTCTCTCTCTCTCTCTCTCTCTCTCTCTCTCTCTCTCTCTCTCTCTCTCTCTCTCTCTCTCTCTCTCTCTCTCTCTCTCTCTCTTCTCTCTCTCTCTCTCTCTCTCTCTCTCTCTCTCTCTCTCTCTCTCTCTCTCTCTCTCTTCTCTCTTTCTCTCGCCTGTCTCCTCTCTCAACTCCCCCTCTCTCTCTCTCTCGCTCTCTCTCTCTCTCTCTCTCTCTCCCTCTCTCTCGCTTCCTCTCTCTCTCTCTCTTGCTCTCTCTCTCTCTCTCTCGTCACGGGCTCGTGAGATCAGCCAGGGTGGCTCCCCCTTGGGGCTCCCAAATGATGCCCCTGGCAGCGTTTTGTGACCATGAGGCTCTCAAGAGATACATGTTGGGGAGGCCAAACGGCAATTCTAGCTGAGGCGTCCCACCAAAATCGGCGCGAACGGGCTCGTGAGATCAGCCAGGGTGGCTCCCCCTTGGGGCTCCCAAATGATGCCCCTGGCAGCGTTTTGTGACCATGAGGCTCTCAAGAGATACATGTTGGGGGCGCCAAACGGCAATTCTAGCTGAGACGTCCCACCAAAATCGGCGCGAACGGGCTCGTGAGATCAGCCAGGGTGGCTCCCCCTTGGGGCTCCCAAATGATGCCCCTGGCAGCGTTTTGTGACCATGAGGCTCTCAAGAGATACATGTTGGGGGCGCCAAACGGCAATTCTAGCTGAGACGTCCCACCAAAATCGGCGCGAACGGGCTCGTGAGATCAGCCAGGGTGGCTCCCCCTTGGGGCTCCCAAATGATGCCCCTGGCAGCGTTTTGCGACCATGAGGCTCTCAAGAGATACATGTTGGGGGCGCCAAACGGCAATTCTAGCTGAGACGTCCCACCAAAATCGGCGCGAACGGGCTCGTGAGATCAGCCAGGGTGGCTCCCCCTTGGGGCTCCCAAATGATGCCCCTGGCAGCGTTTTGTGACCATGAGGCTCTCAAGAGATACATGTTGGGGGCGCCAAACGGCAATTCTAGCTGAGACGTCCCACCAAAATCGGCGCGAACGGGCTCGTGAGATCAGCCAGGGTGGCTCCCCCTTGGGGCTCCCAAATGATGCCCCTGGCAGCGTTTTGTGATCATGAGAGAGTGCGAGTGTGAGCTTAACTTATCTTATCTTATCTTGAAATCTCTTATTATCATATCTTGTGCTATCTTATCTTATCTTGTAGTATCTTATCTTGTCTTGTCTTATCTGGTGATTATCATTGGGAGGAGGGAGGCGCGAGCGGGAGGAAGAAGGAGGAGGAGGAGTGGGAGGCGTCAGAGTAATAACAAGAACCCCAATCCTTAGGATATGGGGAAAAACATAGGAACATCAATTTGTCTGCGTTTTGGAAGCCTATTGGGGGTCTTCTTTGGGTCGTCTTCGTGCGCCTGGTGGGTGTCTGGGGCCTCTTGGGGCCCTTGGGGGGGCGTTCGGCCGCCCTCCTGACCGAGTTGGACCCGTTGCCTAGGCCCAGCAAGGGCTTCCAGGAGCTCTGAAGCGTCTGGGTGGCCTCGCCAGGGGCGTCCACGGGATCCCCAGGGCCACGGGTCCGGAGTTCCAGAGGGGCCAGGGATTCGGGTGTCCCACTTCGGGTGTGGGGTCCCAGGTAATACATTTGTTTTATGAGTATATGTATATGTATAAGTAGTTTATACATATATACATACATACATACAGACAGACAGACAGACAGACAGACAGGCATACATACAGACATACAGACATGCATACATACACACATGCATACATGCATGCATACATACATAAACACATGCCAACTAGCAAACACACATACACACATACATACATACATGCATGCATGCATGCACGCATACATACATGCATACATAACTTCATACATACATACATACATACATACAAACAAACATGCATGTATGCATACATACATACATACACACATACGCACACATACATACATACATACATACAACCATACCTACCTACCTACCTACCTACCTACATACATACATACATACATACATACACATGCATACATACATACATGCATACACACATACATGCATGCATGCATGCATAAATACATATATATATATATATATCGATATATATATATATATATATATATATATATATATATATACATACATACATACATACATACATACATACACATATTCCAATTTCTATATTTTTGCAAGCCGGGGGGGGAACCCTCATCCCGCCCTCCCTCCCAAACTAGATTCCGCAGATGCGGAATTCGGGGGCCCCCAAGACGCCCTTAGAAGAGGTCTCCCTGCCCTTCAGGTCCTCCCAAGGCGCCTTGCCAGGCCTTGCCAGCAGACCCAACGTGATCAGAGGTGGGATCAGAGAGGCCCGCAAGAGCTCCACGAGGCTCCAGACACCAGACCCCCAAGAGGCAGTCGAAACGAAGAAACATTGATTCCCGATGTTTTTTTGCATGATTTTGGAAATGCTCTGTTCTTCGGTCTTCGGGCGTCCGAGACCGCCCGGAAGGTCCGAACATCGCTCCCAAACTACCCTCAAGGGCTTACAGGCGGTCTTCCGGGACGACCCAACTTTCCTCCGAGATCGTTCCAAGACGGCTGCCGATGCCCCCGAGGAGGCCCAAGTAGACCACCGGGCGGCCCCAAGAGGATTCCCAATGGAAGAACCCGAGCTGATGTTTCGAGCCCTTCCAGACACGCGCAACCCGAGACCCCGAGAACCCCCTCAGGGCCCCAAGAGGCCCCAATAGATTTCCAAGGAGCCCCGATAGACCTCGAGAAATGCTACCACGCAGCGGGATCAGGCCGCAGAAGCGTTCTCGCACAGCTGCGAAAGGCAGCCGACAATGCACACACCAGCGAACCCAAATCGCCACAATACCAACCAGAAAACGTCCCCACGAAAGGGGTCGATCACTGGCCGCATGCCCATACCGAAGTGCATTTTTTTCACGGGCGCGACAGCGACAGCGCCGCGTGGAAACGCGGCGGCGAAGATGTGGAATATTGAAGCGCTTGCCACGCCTGCAATTACAGAGCTCCGCCAGTAAAGGAGACCCCCCTAAAAGTAAAGGAGAACCCACAAAAAGCAAAGGAGACCCCCCAAAAAGTAAAGGAGACGCACCAAAAAGTCAAGGAAACCCCCCAAAAAGTAAAGGAGACCACCCAAAAAATAAAGGAGACGCCCCACCAAGTAAAGGAGGCCCCCAAAAAAGTAAAGGAAACCCTCCAAAAAGTAAAGGAGACCCCGGAAATTGATGTTTTTTAAGCAGCGGAAATGGCAGCGGGCGGGAAGGCGCGGGCGGCGAAGGTCGAGGGCAGCAGCGCGCGCATGCACGGCCCCCCGCCGACGTCTTCGAACGACACTTCGACGACGCGGGCGCGGGGGCGGCGGGGGCCCCGGACAAGGAGGAGGGGGGGGGGAGGGGGAAGAGGAAGAAAAGGAGGAGGAGGAGAAGGAGGAGGAGGAGGAGAAGGACGAGAAGGAGGAAGAGGAGATCCTTAGCCATTTTTGCTCGAGTAGAACATATG